AAGACAAAGTCGATATTCTCTACCATCCGTTTTTTATTTATTTTCAGATGATATCTGCTATAAAGACACTTACAGAATTGGCAGAAATCATACCAAACGATCCAGCGGGCGCTATTATTTTGGGAAGAATTAAAGATCTAGCCGCCTCTAAGCTTCCTGAAGGTTGGCAGCGATGGAAAGCTGGTGTTTATACTGGGGTCGATTATGATGTTCAAGTTTTTAATAAAATTAGATTCGGTCTCCCAACAGTAGGACTGGTTCAAGCCTTCCATCCCACAGCAACTAGTCTCTCAGGACGTACGTAATGAAAATCAAAATGGTGAGCTGGCCCTTTTGCGTGGGTCTGATAATAGGGCCGTCTAACTTGGCAGCTAGAATAAGAGGAGCGATTGCACATAATGACTTGGTGATTGCTGCCCTTACTGATTTAAAACCGCTTATGATTTCCCGTAAAGAAGCTTCCATTCAACTCTCAGGAGACTTATCCGAAAATGAAAGTATCCAAGGACGAGCTTCAAGTAGCGCAGGTACCTCGGAACGAGCGTCCAGTTTTTTAAATACCCATAGACAAGCGTCCAGAACTTTGGGACTTCCCCAGCGTAATAATGAAAGTTGTATTGATAGATTAGAAAAATCTACTGAGGAACTGAAGATCATGTTCCAATCATTTATAGACACCTTTAAGCCACCTTCTGATAATGAATTCCAGCGAGATAACGAATCTGATCAAGATATGTCTGATACTGAACGGGAGCAGGAACATATTCATCCCTTGTTAAATTTGAGAGACGAGGAGGAAGAAGACAATATTGATGAACCATTTAATTTTGACTTTGGTCCTACAACAAAAGAGCAGGAGCCGGCCATACCACCTCCAAAACCCCATATACAAATGCAGGGAATTGAGTGGCTTAGGCTGGGTAAACCTGCGTTTAATAAGGTACGTTATTCAGACGTACAGAAGAAACTGCAAGCTTTCCCGGTGTTTAGCGCTTTAAAAATAAATGAGCAGATTTCCTATATGTGTGCAGCGAATAGATCCTTACAGGATCAGATGGCAAAAATGGATTCGACGCTAGGTATAATCCTACATGGGCTTCTGCTTCAAAGAGAAGCATTTTTTGATTCGATGAATACCCTTATTAATATTCACCCAGTTGTTAAGAAAGATGTTCAACGCCTTTTAGTGGCTTCTGAATCGTCATTTAGATCGCTCTCAGACGATGTTTTACAATATGTGTGTGGCGAAGGGCATTTACTCCGCGAAATGCTCAAGTAGCATCTTTGTTAGAGTCCATACCACCATCATCCACTCATCCTTTTGAAACAGATTCTCTAGCGGATTTGACTAAACAGTATGGGGATTCCTTTCGTCCCTTTCGTGCCTCTTTCAAAAAGACTCCAAGACGCATCACCTTAAACCAAAATTTTAACAGAAAGGCGAAACCGAGCAAACCATTTTTTAGTGGAAAATTCTCCACCACCAAAGCAAATTCGTCTTCACTCGAAAGAAAAGACTACTCCGCAAAAGATTCTGCTACCCGAAAAAGACCATTATTCTCTAACAAAAACGAAAGATCATCTAAACGGTCAAAAAAATTTTGACAACCATCAATCGTTCAGGGCTGGGCAGCTAGCAAATTTTATAATGGAATGGAAGAGACTGGGAGCACCAGAACGAATCCTGGAAACAATAAGTGGTTATTCAATTCCATTCGTCAGAAAACCGCTGATGAGGTTTCTCTTACGGGATGTACTACGCAATTTGTCCACGATAGGTATGGACATGGAAATAAAAAATATGATCCAGCAGGGCGTCCTAGAGAAATCAAATGGTTCAACAGGGTTTTGTCACGAATATTCCTAGTCATAAAACCAGACGGGTCAATAGGACCTATTTTCAACTTGCTCGCTCTGAACAGATTTCTGAAACCAAAGAAATTTCATTTAATAAATTATCAAAAGATTCCCTTATTTCTACAGGATAAGGATTTTATGACAAAAATAGATCTCTCGCAGGCATATTTTCACATTCCGATCAAAGAAAGATATCGAAAATTTCTTTCAATGGTATACACGAAGGAACAATTTATCATATTACTTGTTTACCCTTCGGCCTATCGAGTGCGCCTCTAGAATTCTCCAGGGTATTAAATTGGGTTGCCGATCAACTTCGAAAGAAAGTAATGAGAGTAGTCGTTTACCTCGACGATTTCCTTCTAGCTCATCAAGATCCCGAAATACTTCGTCTACAAACCGAGCAAGCTATATCGTTTCTAAAAGAGCTGGGGTGGAAAATAAACGAAACAAAGTCAGTGATGATACCTTTAAATCAACAAGAATACTTGGGGCTCAAATGGGATACCCAAGATGGTATAATATGTCTTCCAGAAAAAAAGAAGAACTCTATAAGGAAGGACCTACAAAAGATAATAGATCATCAACAGTGGAACTGGGAAATAGCCAAGAGGGTATCGGGAAAAATAAACTTCGCTATGTTCGCAATCCCATTGGGACGATTGCATTCAAGGAATATGCTGAAACTAAGCCTGAAGCTCCCAGAGGTCCACCCGAAATTGAATTTCAAGTTACCAAAAGCAGTGAGAGCAGACTGTCAATGGTGGTTAATAAATATGGACAAAACGTCACTGTTGTTTCAAAAGAACCCGGAGATGTTTATTTCGACCGATGCAAGAGATCTAGGTTGGGGAGCCCAAATGGGAAATATATGCCTAAAAGGAACTTGGTCAATGGAGCAAAAAAACTGGCATATCAACTTAAAGGAAATGTTTGCCATACATATAGCTCTGCGACAGCAAGTGAATGCTGTAAAGAACAGAACGGTACTAATTCAATCGGACAATCAAACAGTTGTGGCACATATAAAAGTGAATGCTGTAAAGAACAGAACGGTACTAATTAAATCGGGCAATCAAACAGTTGTGGCATATATAAAAAATCAGGGAGGGATGAAATCAGCGAGACTCTTAAAGATGACGTACACTCTTTTGCACTTTGCCCAGAAATGGAATATGAATATCATAGTTCAGTACATTCCAGGGCTGTAAAACGATATTGCGGACAACTTGTCGCGAAACAGAACACTTCCGGATTGGCATTTGAATCCTGTCATAACGAACAAAATTTTTCACATGTGGGGCAAACCGGAGATAGACCTGTTTGCGACGAATCAGTCGAAAGTAGTAAGGAGATATGTGCCAAGCGGAATTTGTGAATGCATTCAGCAAAATATGGATTTATCACCTGGCTTACATATTTCCACCTCCAAGCCTAATTCCTCGGGTTTTAAATCACCTGAACAAAGCAACAGGTACGTTCATTTCAATAGTCCCGGACTGGGACAGAGTATTTTGGAGGCCAGATATAAAGACAAGGGCTGTAGTTCCTCCTGATCCAATACCGAACCTGCATCTTTACTTGACGGATGCTCAATCAGGGGAAGTTCTACCTCAGGCCCACAAACTGAACTTGGTTGCTTGGAAGGTACGGGGTGGGAGGCCTTAATAAGAGATTGGCCTCGTGATGACCAGATTTTGCTTCAAAAATCATAGCGAAAATCATCCCTTCGAACTTATGTTTTACCTTGGAAAGAATGGCGAAAATGGATTAAAAAAAGGATATTAACGTTAATGTTGCAAAACCTGAGTTGGTGGCACAATATCTATCATATCTTTTTCGAGTTAAAAAATACGCTGTAGCAACGATTAAGCTACATAAGTCCGTAATAGCCACGTTTTCCGATCCCATCAAAAGCACTCAAATATCAGAACATCCTCTGGTTAAACGCATTATCAAGGCCATTGAAATTGAAAAACCTGTATCAAATAAAAAGTCGATATTTGATGTGAATAAACTTATATTATGGATGAAGAACTAAAAAATAAATGAAAACAGTATCTTCCAGGTGTCAAGAAGACTGGCACTTATCTTGTTATTAGCATCAGGTCGTAGGATTCACGACTTAACCTTGCTGGAATTAACTAATGAAGGTTTGGTTATAGATGATGAATCGGTAATATTCTGGCCTGGATTTGGTTCCAAGACAGACAAAAGTAGCCAGAGACAATCTGGATGGAAACTGATTAAAAATCCGGATTTGAAATTAGATCCAGTTTACTGGACCAATACCCTAATTAAGGTTTCAGCAACTAGGTGCATGGCTAGAAGTCATCTTATTTCCTTTTTTATCACTACCAGAGGGAAGGTGGGACCGGCTTCCAGAGCGACCATCGCAGGATGGGTGAAAACTGCCTTAGATAGTGTCGGAATAGATTATTCTGCAGGAAGTATTCGGTCGGCGGTCTCGTCATCACGATTTGATAATAAGGTTCCTTTGGATAAAGTTTTGGAAACCGGAAACTGGAAGAATTCAAAGAATTTTATGTAATTGTTTATGTAATAATTTTAATTGGTGTTTGCACATTATCTTTTCACAGTACGCTCTACCGTCGTCAGATTCTAAACACTTCTCGTTAGGGTCAAGCCGACGGCACAGGACTAAAATATACAGCGTTTTTCCCCCAAAGGGTAAAAAACGACATATTTTAGGCCTTGCCTAGGCTTGACCCCGGTAAGCACTTGACGACTTACCTAAAGAAGGTACTGACAAGATCCACACTTGTCACACAGAGGGAGACTAGATCGGCTGTGATCGGGTGGGATCAGCTGACGACATGTAGAAGGAAGCGTAACTTGAGATGCAAATAGGCGTAAAGCGAGAGGAAAACAGGGTTGTAATCTCGTTAGGGTCAAGCCTAGGCAAGGCCTAAAATATGTCGTTTTTTACCCTTCGGGGGAAAAACGCTGTATATTTTCATTAAATTTCTTGTTTTACGAGATCACTTGAGATACGGGTATTTGTACAGGGAAATTAAGAATAAAAGCAGTTTGTTGGTTACAAACTTTACAACCAAATGGCGATCGACATAAATCCATCCGCTAATACGAACTTATTTAATTAAGAACCTTAAATATTTTAGCAAAAAGTGTATGATGAAGTCATAGATGCAATTGGACTTACCGAGGAAATTGATCCGACAGGTTTAGTGAAAATGAAGTATACAGAAAGAGTAATTAAAGAAACTTTAAGACTCTTTCCACCAGTGGTAATGTTTGGACGAAGGTTAACCGGAGATATAAACCTCGGTAAGTAAGATAAAGTGTAGAGACTCCATAGTAAGTAAATAATAATATGTATAGATCAGTGGCGGCGCGTGGTTTAATACTTTAGGAATTCATAAAATCGTTTGATTCCCACGCCCAAAAATACTTTTTTTTAGGCTATCAAATCATAAAAATTATAGTAACTTATTAAGAAATTAAAAATTAAAGGTACCTTGCTTAGTACGTCGGCCTCGCAAAACAATTGTTTTTATAGATAAATGTATCACAGTTTTTATGGTTCGCAAACACACAAAAAACAAGAAAATTACAATTTTGAGGGCCTCTGACACCCTTTTAACAGTGACCTAGATATCTGACAATTATCATACCTCATATGTGACCTCCAAAGAGGTAATGCGTAAATTTTCAGCCGGAGGTAAGATCGTTTTCCTTTGCGACAATTTTTACAACTGAGTAGTCTGACGTCTCCTTTGCAAGGGTTCTAAACTAAATATCTACAGATGACACTTGCTGATGGTCCCGCCAACCAGTTCACAAAATTCCAGCCGGGCGGAGGTACGATAGTACCACCATGCGGCCGCTAACTATTAGACTACAGCTCCTTCACAACACTTTCACATTTAAAATCACCACTACCACCAATACGGAGACACTAAGTTGATGAGGGAACTTACAGAGTTCACAATTTGAGACTGGTGAAACATGTATAGGGACTGCATATTCCAAAAAGCAAGAGGAATACTCAGATAAACATGGTACGGAGTAAGTAGCGAAATAATGCGAAAAACGGGGAGACATGGACAAGAAATAAAAATAAACTGACCAAATTTGTAAATACTTCGCGAAAAGAATGATTATGAGTTGCCGTTTAAATTGTAGTATACTAAACCATGATATTTACTAATAAAAAGAAGTATGATATTATCATGGAAGAATGATATAACGCTAATTTATATTACGTCACGGTGACGTATTGTGGTGTGAAGGCGTGGTTTTTGCGAATTTGAGGTATTAGCTGATCGAAAACCGCCCAAAAATAAATTTTATTCTGCTCATGGACAATCAGAATACGTCATGCACGAATTCGACGAGATTTCGTCAGCTAAGTATTATACCTCTGTATTTTTGCTAAACCTCGTTATAGGTAGCTACTGTTATTTTCCTATTGTCACTTTGCATATAACTTTTTTAATTTTTTACGAATGAAAATTTGACAAATCGGAAATTTCTTGAATGAAAAAACAAGATACTTCATACACGAGTTACATACACAATTTTTTTTTCTACAATCATTTAAATAAACCAAAATTAAAAAATACGTAAAAAGTTTATACATGCACACCGAGAAATCTTAATTGACATGTGACTAAGGTGGTCATGACCACGGTGCCTACACACACTAGCGGAAACAATTAGAACTACAAAAAAGTACTTTGTCTCACTCTAATGTCACTTAAGAAGAAAAATCATTCCAAATTGAAACGTGACCAAGGCGTAAGAAAAAAAACAAAAACTCAAAGCCATACGTCACAAAATAATATATGAGTATATTAAATTATATCCATAGAAAAACGGCAGAGATATATAGATATAATGTCTAGTTTTTGGGAACGAGTCCTAAGGATGAAACCGGTCCAAGAATGACATTCCCCTTGGCAAGCACAATCAACGTTGGAGTGTTGAAAATAATTTTATATCAACTGTTTTTCTTTGGATTTAATTCAATACCTGTTGCGGTATTAGCGAAAGGAGAAGTTGTTTTTTGGAGGGAAATGGTTGTTCGTATTATTTTTTAACGCCTGGCTTTGAGATTTTCTTGTTTTTCATTATAATCTAATTTTTTTCATTGTTCAACAATTACATATTTTATACAAGCAAATCGAATAAATAACGTTACTTTTTTAACGATTGTAAAAATTGCAATTTTTTCTAGGAGATATTATATTACCAAAAGGCGCGTCGGCTGGATTGATTCCGAGTCTACTTCACAGGGACCCAAAGTACTGGAAAGATCCACTAACATTTAATCCAGATAGATTTTTACCTGAGGAAAACAGTAAACGACACCCTTGCACATATATTCCCTTTTCTTACGGTGCCAGAAACTGCATAGGTAGGTATTTTCATGGAAAATCTTTCTAGAGGATTTTTTTTTTCGAAAATTAATCAATCTTCTATTTTTAAATTTGAATTTGCAATTTTCGAATTTTATTTCTTATACACGGTGTTACAGAATCAAGAGGCGTATTACGGCAAATCTAAATTATTTTCGACTATTTCGCAGGTAGTTGAAATGAATCTAAATCCTAATTATTTTTAAACGTTTTAAATCTACGTTCTCATTTTTTTATTTAAAAACAAGATATCTAGTTTTAGAATTATTCAAAAAATATATATATCTAGTTTTTGAACAAGCAATGAGTACAACTTTGTATTGCTTAATAGAGAACAAATAATAATTAATGCAATAATAATAATAATAATAATAATAATAATAATTAATAATAATAATAATAATAATAATAATAATAATAATAATAATAATAATAATAATAATAATAATAATAATAATAATAATAATAATAATAATAATAATAATAATAATAATAATAATAATAATAATAATAATAATAATAATAATAATAATAATAATAATAATAATAATAATAATAATAATAATAATAATAATAATAATAATAATAATAATAATAATAATAATAATAATAATAATAATAATAATAATAATAATAATAATAATAATAATAATAATAATAATAATAATAATAATAATAATAATAATAATAATAATAATAATAATAATAATAATAATAATAATAATAATAATAATAATAATAATAATAATAATAATAATAATAATAATAATAATAATAATAATAATAATAATAATAATAATAATAATAATAATAATAATAATAATAATAATAATAATAATAATAATAATAATAATAATAATAATAATAATAATAATAATAATAATAATAATAATAATAATAATAATAATAATAATAATAATAATAATAATAATAATAATAATAATAATAATAATAATAATAATAATAATAATAATAATAATAATAATAATAATAATAATAATAATAATAATAATAATAATAATAATAATAATAATAATAATAATAATAATAATAATAATAATAATAATAATAATAATAATAATAATAATAATAATAATAATAATAATAATAATAATAATAATAATAATAATAATAATAATAATAATAATAATAATAATAATAATAATAATAATAATAATAATAATAATAATAATAATAATAATAATAATAATAATAATAATAATAATAATAATAATAATAATAATAATAATAATAATAATAATAATAATAATAATAATAATAATAATAATAATAATAATAATAATAATAATAATAATAATAATAATAATAATAATAATAATAATAATAATAATAATAATAATAATAATAATAATAATAATAATAATAATAATAATAATAATAATAATAATAATAATAATAATAATAATAATAATAATAATAATAATAATAATAATAATAATAATAATAATAATAATAATAATAATAATAATAATAATAATAATAATAATAATAATAATAATAATAATAATAATAATAATAATAATAATAATAATAATAATAATAATAATAATAATAATAATAATAATAATAATAATAATAATAATAATAATAATAATAATAATAATAATAATAATAATAATAATAATAATAATAATAATAATAATAATAATAATAATAATAATAATAATAATAATAATAATAATAATAATAATAATAATAATAATAATAATAATAATAATAATAATAATAATAATAATAATAATAATAATAATAATAATAATAATAATAATAATAATAATAATAATAATAATAATAATAATAATAATAATAATAATAATAATAATAATAATAATAATAATAATAATAATAATAATAATAATAATAATAATAATAATAATAATAATAATAATAATAATAATAATAATAATAATAATAATAATAATAATAATAATAATAATAATAATAATAATAATAATAATAATAATAATAATAATAATAATAATAATAATAATAATAATAATAATAATAATAATAATAATAATAATAATAATAATAATAATAATAATAATAATAATAATAATAATAATAATAATAATAATAATAATAATAATAATAATAATAATAATAATAATAATAATAATAATAATAATAATAATAATAATAATAATAATAATAATAATAATAATAATAATAATAATAATAATAATAATAATAATAATAATAATAATAATAATAATAATAATAATAATAATAATAATAATAATAATAATAATAATAATAATAATAATAATAATAATAATAATAATAATAATAATAATAATAATAATAATAATAATAATAATAATAATAATAATAATAATAATAATAATAATAATAATAATAATAATAATAATAATAATAATAATAATAATAATAATAATAATAATAATAATAATAATAATAATAATAATAATAATAATAATAATAATAATAATAATAATAATAATAATAATAATAATAATAATAATAATAATAATAATAATAATAATAATAATAATAATAATAATAATAATAATAATAATAATAATAATAATAATAATAATAATAATAATAATAATAATAATAATAATAATAATAATAATAATAATAATAATAATAATAATAATAATAATAATAATAATAATAATAATAATAATAATAATAATAATAATAATAATAATAATAATAATAATAATAATAATAATAATAATAATAATAATAATAATAATAATAATAATAATAATAATAATAATAATAATAATAATAATAATAATAATAATAATAATAATAATAATAATAATAATAATAATAATAATAATAATAATAATAATAATAATAATAATAATAATAATAATAATAATAATAATAATAATAATAATAATAATAATAATAATAATAATAATAATAATAATAATAATAATAATAATAATAATAATAATAATAATAATAATAATAATAATAATAATAATAATAATAATAATAATAATAATAATAATAATAATAATAATAATAATAATAATAATAATAATAATAATAATAATAATAATAATAATAATAATAATAATAATAATAATAATAATAATAATAATAATAATAATAATAATAATAATAATAATAATAATAATAATAATAATAATAATAATAATAATAATAATAATAATAATAATAATAATAATAATAATAATAATAATAATAATAATAATAATAATAATAATAATAATAATAATAATAATAATAATAATAATAATAATAATAATAATAATAATAATAATAATAATAATAATAATAATAATAATAATAATAATAATAATAATAATAATAATAATAATAATAATAATAATAATAATAATAATAATAATAATAATAATAATAATAATAATAATAATAATAATAATAATAATAATAATAATAATAATAATAATAATAATAATAATAATAATAATAATAATAATAATAATAATAATAATAATAATAATAATAATAATAATAATAATAATAATAATAATAATAATAATAATAATAATAATAATAATAATAATAATAATAATAATAATAATAATAATAATAATAATAATAATAATAATAATAATAATAATAATAATAATAATAATAATAATAATAATAATAATAATAATAATAATAATAATAATAATAATAATAATAATAATAATAATAATAATAATAATAATAATAATAATAATAATAATAATAATAATAATAATAATAATAATAATAATAATAATAATAATAATAATAATAATAATAATAATAATAATAATAATAATAATAATAATAATAATAATAATAATAATAATAATAATAATAATAATAATAATAATAATAATAATAATAATAATAATAATAATAATAATAATAATAATAATAATAATAATAATAATAATAATAATAATAATAATAATAATAATAATAATAATAATAATAATAATAATAATAATAATAATAATAATAATAATAATAATAATAATAATAATAATAATAATAATAATAATAATAATAATAATAATAATAATAATAATAATAATAATAATAATAATAATAATAATAATAATAATAATAATAATAATAATAATAATAATAATAATAATAATAATAATAATAATAATAATAATAATAATAATAATAATAATAATAATAATAAATCTTCCTTTGTTGAAACCATCAAATACTTTCCTTCCAGTTTCTATAAAAGGGAGATTTTCAAAATAGGATTTATTACTAATGATAATTTAGAGAGGTTTGGTGTTAAATAACGACAATAAAACTTAGCTAGTTGTAGCATTAAAAAGAGCTTGCAAAATTCTACCGGTAATAGTATATAAGTCAAAATCACAAAAATTCAAATTACCTAGTTGTAGTATTAAAGGGACGATATAAACATGGGTCCGGAAATACTGTCAAAAATCAGTGGCGTACAGTTTTGTCGCTAAACATAAAGACTTGTCGGCACGAACGCCACTGATGTAAGTGCTTTAGAAAACAATGTTGTACCTATATACATGTAAATGTGACATGATACATTTGCGTGTGCCAAAAACAGAAAAGTTTAAACATCCCGTGTCATGAAAACGAAGCATTTCCGGATCCGTTTATTTTTTTTATATTTTTAGATGAATCTCTGTATCTGTAACGTGTGGAGGGTGGGTTACCCCCACGGCACTTGGGTCTCATTAGGCCCCTCCTAAGATTTAATGTAGTTGACAACGTTGCCAAGAGGTGCTTCTTTTATATCGGCCGGTGTTAGCCGATACTCGCCGAATACAAATCTTCTAATAAATGAGATCGTCGAGTAATCGTAATGGATATGCTCGATTGTCTCATCTTCTTGTTCGCACTTTCTGCAGAGTGCGGATTCTGACAGTCCCATGATATGGAGATGCTTCCGTACTTGGCAATGACCAGTCAGAATTCCTGTGACTAGGCGCAGATTCTGTCTAGTCATAGTCAAGTATTTGTTTGCTGCAATGTTGTCAGAATAACTTAAGAGCTCCCTGGCAACACTGCAGTTTCTTGTTTCATCCTATCTTTCCTTGAATTTCACAAGGTAATGTTCTTTAATTAGGTCTGTCACTACCAATTTTGTCAGGCCAATAGAACGGCCAGGTCCAAAAAGTATTTGGTTCCCCGCTTTCTTAGCTAGTGAATCAGCGAGACGGTTACCTTTCGATGTGGCGTGACCTTTGATCCGTCTTAAGGTGACTACATTGTTGAAGGATACTTCGGTCAAAGCTTCGTGACGTTCTAGTACTAACCCTGAATAAATTCGTGGTCGGTTCAGGGTGAGTAGTGCTTGTCTGCTATCTGTATAGATGAGTATGTTTCTTCCAGTGATATTGTTTCTGGTTATTTCTTTTGCTGCTATGATAATCCCCGCTAGCTCTGTTTGAACTACACTGGCACTATTGCTCAAAGCCCATTTTATGTTTAGGTTTAAGAATCTGGAGTATAGTCTACATCCTGAGCCTTTTTTTGTTTTAGAGCCGTCGGTGTAGATATGAATCGTACCTGCCACTTCTAGCTCTTCTATTTGTTCTATTATATGGCTTATGAAAGATATATCTCGGTGCGATGGAGTCCATGTTCGCTTGAAGCAGTGGGAGCGTATCGAGCGCCTCCTGCCAAAAGTGACGTCTCGCCTCACCAGATCCTACATCAGGTTCTATTCCAACCGTGCGGAGGCGTATCATTGTCGTCAGAGCAACCTCCTTGATGTAAATATCAAGGGGAGTGAGACTAAGAATGACTTCCATGGCTCTGGTCGGTGTTGTTTTCATGGCTCCTGTTATGTTGAGACATGCTGTTCTTTGAATTTGTTCTAGTTTACGAATAGCTGTTAATTTTTGGGTTTTTGGTACCCAGATAACTGCACCGTATGTTAGCATAGGTCTTATGACAGCTGTGTAAGTCCATGCGACGACTCTGGGGTGCGCCCACGGTTCGGCGGCATTGTTCATAAGCAATCTATGCTCTTTTAACTCTTTCTAAATGTCAGATCCATGTTAACATAAAAGGACCATTTCTGTCTTCTTAGGATTGATAGAGAGTGAATGGTCCTTGCAACCACTGTTCTATAATTTTTAGAGCTACTTGAATTCTTTCGCAGAGTATGTTCTTAAAATACCCTATTTGCAGATTGACCAGGTCATCTGCATATGCGATTGTGTAGTGACTGTTATTATTGAGGCGGCTGATGAGGGTGTCGAGGACCATATTCCACAGTAGAGGTGATAGCACCCCTCCCTGTGGATATCCCCTCTCAACCAAGCCTCTTATATTTACATCTTCTACACTTATGTTTACTGCTCGCTTTGAGAGCATGTTATGTATCCATCCACTAACCATGAAGAATCAGTCAAAAAATTTTCTTTACAACATTCTGTAACACCCTGTATATTAATTGTCTTCACTTAAGTATAAGAATTATTTATCATAAAATTTGTTTGTTTTGCTAGTTTTAGAATAGATTTTTTTTTATTTCAAGCTAAAAATATAAGAAATTTTTCTTTACCAACAAATATGTAGCTTAAAATTTTATTAATTTTCTAAGAATATCTTCATTATTTATTGTAATGTAATAACTTTTGTTTTTAGGTAAATATTATGCGTTTCAAAATTTAAAAACTCTAACAGCAACAGTTATTCGTGAATTTATGATATACACGGCATATAAATCAGTAGAAGAAGTTGAATTTACCTTGCAAGGAGTTCTTACATTGACGCACGGTGTTAAATTGTGGTTTGAACCACGAACATAATGTATATTATTATTAGTCTGATCTAAAAAAAGTCTTTATTATAGGTATTCACATTTACGTGTTTCTAATAATTGTATTCCAGTTTATTCGTTATTCAAAATCTATTTCCATTTTGTAAAATTATATATACTAATATCTTTTTTGTCGCTTTTATAGTTTTTTAATTTTATAATACATTAATGAACTAAAAAATTGTTTACTGTTATTAGATTTAATTAGGACTATGGGCCATGTGGCCTCCCCCACCTCGACCTTTTCAGATCTATTGTGGATATCCTTTAATCATTGTTTAGAGTACCTTGTCTAATGCGGTCTTTTGTAGTAAACTCCATAGACTGGAAAGTAGTTCTCCGGTATAGCTAGTTGCCCTTGGTTTTTCTTCTCCAAGTGTAAGGAATCTCAGTCTTACTAGACCTTCGCAGTAGCACAATACGTGTTCTGCCGTTTCCTCTTCTTCTTGACAGAATCGGCACAAGGCCTCTTCTGTCAGACCGATATTGAACATATGTTTGTTAAGCCTACAATGCCCTGTTAATAGACCTACTAGTATTCTAGTATTTTTCCTATTAAGGCTTAGTAGATGCTCGGTGAGTTTAGACGATGGTCCTTTTAAGAACTTTTTGGCCTGTCTCTGTCCTGGTGAGTTTTCCCACCACTCCTGAGATTTTTTAAACATCCACTGCTTTGTGCATGTTCTGATAGTTGTTTTTGTTACACCACAGAAGGGTTCTGGGCCAATAAGAGCATTTGATGCTCCTTCTCGGGCTAGTAAATCAGCCTCTTCATTGCCTTTGTGTCCCCTGTGGCCTGGTACCCACGCTAAGGTTAGTCTGTTTTGACTACCCAGCTCTGTTAGGGCTTCCAAACAGTCCCACACAAGCTTTGAGTGTACCTGCATGGAACTGAGTGCTTTTAACGTCGCTTGACTGTCTGAGTATATGACAATGGTTTTCCCATTTACCTTCTGTCTTAATACTTCTTTTGCGCAGTGATGTATTGCTGCTATTTCTGCCTGGAATACTGTCGCATGTTTACCTAAGCTCAGTGAGATTCCTGTCTTTGGCTTGGTACTATATATACCTACTCCTGAACCTTCATGGGTTTTGGAGCCGTCTGTATACCAGGTGAGATCTGCATGAATAGGAGGTCCTCCCGTCCACGCTTCCCTGTCTGGTATACTTACTTTATATTGCTTTTGAAAGCTATACTTTGGAAGCATTTCGTCTGAAGGCATTCCCATTATTTGGTCGTTCTCCAACTCTTTATATAGCTCGCTGTAGTCGCGTCCATGCAAACTGCTTATGGGCGATGAACCTTTGTGCAGTCTGTATGTGACAGACCTGGCTTCGCCTTAAATGAATATATGTAGTGGTGTTAGGTTTAGCATGACTTCTATAGCTGCTGTTGGAGTCGTTCTCATAGCTCCCGTGGTACTCAGGCATGCTTGCCTTTGAATACCATTGAGCTGTCGAATGGCTCCAGCTTGCCTAGTCTTTGGCCACCATACCACCGACCCGTAGGTTATCATCGGCCTTATGACTCTGGTATATAACCACAGGGACATTTTTGGTTGTAATCCCCAATTTTTTCCACACAACCTTCGACATAAGTTGAAGGACGTTGTGCTCTTTTGGGTGACTTTTTGCAAGTGTTGATTCCATGTTAACCTGTGGTCAAAGATGACTCCCAAGTATTTGGCCTCTTGAGCGAATGGAATCTTCACTCCTTTCAGTACTGGTGACTTTAGTCCTGTTGGTACTTTTCGTTTTGTAAAGTTGACTATTGTGGTTTTGTGAGGGTTTACTGTTAGTTCCTCCTCTCTGCACCACTCGTCGACAATGTTTAGAGCGGTTTGTGTGCGCTCCGATATTGTACCTGCGAACTTGCCTCTTACGACGATCGCCAGGTCATCGGCACACCCTAGGCAGTAAAAATCTGCAGATATTAGCCTTTTTATAAGTTCATCCACTAGGACTGACCAGAGAAGGGGTGATAGTACTCCTCCCTGGGGGCAGCCCCTGCCTGCTTTAGCTGTCAATGTAGCTTCGCCTAGAGATGATGTTATTACCCTTTCTTCTAGGCTGGCTTTTATCCACTGACATAGGACTACTGGTACCCCTTTTATTGCTAATGCGTTAATTATAGATCTTGTTTGAGCATTACTAAAAGCTCCCTCAATATCTACGAAAGTTGCTACTGCCATTTCTTTATCCTCGAGGGATTTTGACAATAGCCTGTTAAGATCATTCAGGGCCAAATCGGTTGACTTTCCTGGCTGATATGCATATTGACGGTCGCTGAGAGGATTTTCTCTCAGTAGTTCGTCTCGTATATATCTATCTATTAGTCTTTCTAGCGTTTTCAGCATGAATGAAGATAGACTGATTGGGCGGTACGACTTTGGCGTCATGTCATTAAACCTTCCTACTTTAGGGAGGTATATGACTTTCACCTTTTGCCACGCCTTTGGTATGTGTCGCCAGGCTATACATGCTTTAAATATGCGACACATATGTGGAATTAGAATTTCCTGTCCCTTTTGTAGTAGAATGGGATATATTCCATCTACTCCTGGGGATTTGTATGATTGAAATTTGTTTGTAGCCCATCTAATTTTGTTCGGCCTCGATATTTCTGTAGCTAGCCTCCATTCCAAAGGAGTTGGCCTACGAGACCTTCTTTGAGGGCTATATGCTACTATCGGGTCTAGCAAAATTTCTGCGGCCGGAAAGTGTACTTCTGTGAGCATTGTTAACGTTTCCTCGAAGGTTTTCGTATAGGTTTCGTCATCTTTCCTGAGAAATCCTACTTGGTTTGCAGCACCCTCTTTAGCTAAGACTTTGTGGATTCTAGAGCATGTGGGTGTTTCAGATAACTCCTCACAGAACTTCCTCCACGATTGCCTTTTAGCCTTTCTTATCTCCTTGTTGTACTGCGTGAGTTTAGCCTTGTATAGGGCCCAGTCTTCGGTTGACTTGGCTTTATTAAATAGCCTTCGCACTTCGCCTCTAAGGCGTTCCAAGTGTTTATTCCACCAGACTGTTTTTGTTCTTTGCTGCCTTGTTTTCTCCGGACAGTTTTCCTCGTAAGCGGTTATAATAGCCTTACTTACTTGGTCTACTGCTCGGTCAAGGCTTTGTTCACCTGTTATTTCCACCATACCCTCTTCGAGATACTCTCCAAGTGATGTTGAATACCTTTCCCAGTTCGTCTCTCTAGGGTTTCTGTATTTGGTTGAAATTCGAGGTGGGGTAATTAGATCAAATCTAATCTGTCTGTGGTCTGAGCACGATGGTTCGTCTGACACATGCCACTTTGAAATGTTATCACTTGCTTTACTCGAGCACAGAGTCATATCTAAGACTTCTTTTCTCGTTGCCGTGACGGAAGTTGGTTTGTTACCTATATTAGCAATTACTAAACCTTCGGATAAGATGAATTGTAATAAAGACTCACCTCTTATGTTGATGTCCGTGCTTCCCCACATGGTGTGATGGGCATTGGCATCGCATCCTATGATGAGTTGGAGGTTAGCCCTTGCCGCATATGAGACTATTTCGCCCATTATATGCGGGGGACATAGCTCCTCGCCTGGGAAATATGCAGAACAGACTAGCCATCTTTTTGTTCCTTCCTCTGTCGGCGTAGTTAGGAGAGCTGTAACAATATCAGCGGTGCACAGCACCGGTATTAGTACACAATTTACCCTATTGTTGTATAAGATGCATGCGCGTGGTCTTTTAGACCTTTCGTTGTACAGAATCTTACCTTGGTTGGGTTTTAGGCCTGCTACCCTCCCGCCATGTAACCAGGGTTCTTGCAAGAGGGCCAAATCTAGACCCTCTTTGTCGAACCTCCTACATACTGTAGCGGTGGACGCCTTGGCATGATGGAGGTTCACCTGAAGAACCCTGATCGATCTGCTCAGTTCTGTGAACTGGGCAGTTTGTCTGCCTTCTTAGAGGCCTCTCCAAGTTCCATAGGTACAGTCACCTCTTGGGCTTCTTGCCTCTTGAGGGGACTGACCCCACTGTGGGAAGACTCCACCTCGTCGTCCTCTACCAAGGTTTCTTCCTCTGAAGAGGACTCTTTGGTGTCCTCTTCCCTGCTGAGGGAAGACTTCACCTCGTCGTCCTCTGCCAAGGTTTCTTCCTCTGTAGAGGACTCTTTGGTTTCCTCTTCCCTGCTTGTGCCTGGGTTATTCACCTTTTCGGCGGGTTCTTGGTCTATTGTTATTGTTATTAAAATTAATTAAACATTTTTTCCATTTATTTTTACCTTTATAAAAACATTTCGCAAGTTATATATTGAGAATATAATAGACTCTTTTATATATTATCTTTGATTAATAATCAGTTTTACTTTATAAATAGGAGTAGAACCGTATTATTGTTGTTATTTGAAGCCGTTAAATGAAGTAGCTTTAGTACAGATATCCATTTAAGTGTATTTTTCGCTTAATAAAACTTTTTAAAAATAATAGTTCCATTTTGGAATTTATAACTCGCAAGGAATTTAAAAAAGTTTGAAGTATTTAATTCGTTTATTATCGCTACTTTCCCCTATATTCGCATCTTCATCCAGTGTCAAAAGCAGATAGCTAATCCCTACTCACTATCTTTTTTTTAGATGCACGGACATTTCGTTTGTTAATGAAAGCAGAGACAACAGAGACGTGTAACTTAATAGGAAAGTTTTACATTTTACATATATTTATCTCTCTCCAATAAAACTAACACCGGGGGGGTGGGTTGGCTCAGTGGTTAGAGTCATGACTTTGAGATCGGAAGGTCTCAGGTTCGAATCCCACCGTTGGCCGGGATTTTTTCATTTAATTTAATTATTTAAAATTAATTCTGATGCCTTGGTAGGATTCCCCACTCGACCATTCACTGTTGGGTTCTAATTAACAGTGCTGTTCCTAAAGTGGCGCTGGGAAACAGTAACAAAGCCTACACAGAACACGAGGCTAATGGCCGTAGTAGTCGACGCCGATGACACGAAATTAAAAAAAAAAAAAAAAAAAAAAACTAACACCAATCTTAGAGGTCGCTGATGTTGCTGGTTTTTTGACGTCGACGTATAGATTAGAACTGA